TATACAATAAAAAAAATAATAATAACAAAAAACAAATACGACTCTGATACGCAGCAAAATTATTGCGAAAATCCCAAAAAAAAAAATTAAAGAAGCAAAAAACCATTCGGGGGAATCTACACTTTTTTGTATTTATTTATACATACATAAACATGTATGTATGTATAAACATGTATAGAATTGAATCTCTGGCGATTACGTGGATCATAAATTTGATAACTTTAACAAATGCGACATCCAAGACTCTATGTTTACATATAACTGAGATTGATTGCAAATAAACAGAACAGAATTCTAAACTGGCATTGCAACAAGAACAAGCAACAACAGCTTTCAATTACCCCGCTAAGAAACAATATACATGTTTCATATTTTCATTTCTCAACCGTACCAAAAACCTAAACAAGTTATTTTCCTCTCCTTTTTCTTCACACATAGCCGATAGGCTAACGCAGGTGTGTGTGTTTGTATTTATCAAAGGTGTATATTGTTGATTGCTTATTTATGAATAATGCGGCTTAGTGTGCGCTTAAACACTTGTTGGTGTCTGCGTTAACAAATGTGTCCAAAGTTTAGCCAAATTTGGCAAAAGCACCAACAACAAACACTTGTCCCTGACCATGGACGTTTGTTGTTATTGTGCCTGAACCAACTGTAACTCCGTCTGCCCTCTCTCACGAGCTCGCTCTCTCGCTATCTCTCCCTTTTATACATACATACGTACTTTGCCTAACGGCGTTTTGTTGTTGCCATTTGAGCTTTGGGTGAACTTGAAATTTGGAGAGTCAACAGCATGTAATTGAAATGTGTGTGCACACACACACACACACACACATACGCAACTAAAAACTCTCCCACACACATGCAGAGAGAGCGGCTTGCACTCGAAATTGCGTTCGCGGCGACGTCAATGCGGACACTGGGACGCCGCGCATACGAATGTCGTTATGAAAACAAAAAAAACTAATAAAGCAGCGGACAAAAACAAACAGGCAACTGACAACAGCATCGGCACTAGCAGAGGTAGCAGCAGCGATTGGTTGTACGCTGGCAGCGCAGCTGCGGCAATTTGCAATTTTAATTTTGCGTGCCGTTTTTTTATTTTAATTTAATTTTTGTTTTGTTTTCATCTTTTTTGTTTTGTATAATTAAAGTTAAAGTTGTAACATAAAAACAAGAAACACAAACAGCAATGGCACACAAAAAAAAGTCAATTGCAAATGGCTTGGCTCATTTTGCGGGCATATTTATTATGGTTTTATTATTTTTTGTTTTTTAAATAATTTTTTCTTTCTTTCGTTTGTTTGCGCGCACTGCTAAGGCGGAAATTGCTTTTTGTCTCTTTCGCGCGCGCGGCTTTTTATAATTGACAACAACAAAATACATGGCGCAAAAAAATTAATTACCAACAGCAAAAACAAAACAGAAAAACAAAAACAAAACGACAGCTACAACAAAAACAAATAATGCAAACACAATTTTTAATCATTTCGTATGAAACTCACTTCAAAATAAAAGCTTGCCTATAAATAGTTATAACTATTATATACAAACATATGCATATGTATATGTATATACTTATGTTCATTCATTTATGTTCATTTTTTTCTTAATTATTATATAAATAATTTCAATTTCAATTTAAATAAAAAACAGCTACAACAACAACGTGCAGCTGGCAAAGTCAACAAACCCGGAAATTTGCCAAGCGAGCAGAACAACGGAATTTTATCGTAATAATTTTTATTTATTTCTCTCTTTTTTTTTTTTTTTGTACAATAACAAATATTTAAAAACAAAACAGCAATCGAGCAAAACCGCAACAAAAAAGTTATTTTCTTTCTTTCAGCTAAAAATAACATTTGCAGTTCTGCTTTTGTTGTAGTTCTTGTTGTTGTTATCGCTGATTTCGCTTTGCTTCAACAAATAAATAATAATAATAATATAAACAGTTGTTTTCTCGGGTTTCTCACCTTTTCCTTATGTTTTTTAATTATTGTGATTCAAGCTGCTTCTATTTAAAAACGCGCTAAAAATTCATTCATACATTTTTATTCGCCAAACACTTTTATCTGCTTTCAAACAACAACAAAAAAACTTAACCAAAAAAAAAAATTCCAGAATTCATATAAAAAAGCAAAATTGTTTGCAACGCGCGCTCTTTTGTTTTTTCTGCCTTTGCACTGTAACGGTTAATGACGTATACTATTGGCTTGCTTTCGCCTGTTTTATTCCGTTGCGCTGACCAACCAACCAAGCGACCAACCGACCGGCTTAACTGTTCAAAGTCAACTGACCAGTGTTGGCAGCGAGATCTTGCAGTGCGCCTTATCGATAGAACTGGTTCGATACCACTATATCGAACCGGCATATTAAATCGAACATGTAGCTCGATATCGTAACAGAATGTTAATAACATTGGTATTGAACAGTTTCTATTGAGTTTTCCAAATTCTACGTATGTATATATTCTGAAAAACGCAAACAGCTGATTTGTCAACAGTAGCTGCCTAATGGCCAGGGGGCAAGTAAACATGCATCTATCAGCTTATCAGAGAAACCAACACACCATCATTCTCAATGCAGGTGAGAGGTTATCAGCAGCGCTTACGGGGAGTAGCTGGAGACGGATGCGATTGCGGCTAGCGCTAGTATAGAACAAGACGCTGGACGTTACATTCGAAGATATCGACGCGCAGAGGACCAAGCACAGCAGTAGCAACGGCCGTAGCAGCAGCAGCAGCAGCAGCATCAGCAATAGCAACGACATGCAGCATATGAAAACAGTGACACGCCTCCATCCGCTGGGCATCATCAACTACTGCCCAGTTATAACAGCAACCCGTACATTTAACAGCTATCGGCTTCGGCCCGGGCCTGCCAACCTGCTCGCAGCACAACAACATGAGACGAAGAGCAAATCGCCGAGAGCGCTGCCGGTCGCAGCAACGCCGGCAGCTTTGACGACGATCAGAAACATTTCAAATTCGATTCCGGTAAGTGAGTGTGTGTGGAAACGATGAAGTTCCGAAATCTAATTAATTGCTCCAGCTGAGTGCGAAACGTGCAAATTGTTAATAACTATTGAATCTATCAATTGACAGTGTGAATTGCATCGCTGTGCAGTAAATTAGCTGTTTTTCGTGAAAATCTGTCACTGCGATCTCGTTGACGCGAATTGTGCGACGCAAAGGTGTTTTTTTATTTGTTAATCAGTCACGTTTTTATACCCTTTCTATGAGTCGATCGATTTAGTCAGTTGTTGTGTGACTGTGATGGAAATAATGAAAGGATATATGTATATTCATCATCATCAGTAACTCATTTGCCTAAGTAAATCGAGCTGTTTCCTTTGCATACGTATATATATATGGCTATAGTCACTTGATCTATACGATCAGCATTATGTATATGTATACGAATTCGGACTGATTATTTAAAAAAAAGTCCTTTTACTATAAAAAATCCTTTTTGCTCAAGTGAACTGTTTATTGGCAACTTTATTTGCCAGAAAGGGTATTCATAGTTCGCCTTGCTAACTTTAATTTCTTCTATTCTTCTTCATATTGTTCTCTATTGTTTCTGCGCGTGGCTGTCGCTTTGAAGCCGTGCTCGAGTCGCCCTGTGTTTGTTTGGCTTCGTGCGCGTTTAATTTAAATTAATACACAAAGCTTTAGATTTTTTTTTTTTTTTTTTTTTTTTTTTTTTTTTTGTATGTTGACTTGAAATATCAAATTCTAAATAACTGCAGTTGACAACAGGCGTCAACCCAAGGCCCCACCCATACGGTTCTCATTTTCAGTGCGTGAGATTGAAGCACTAGAGAACTTAATGTGAATGTGGTTTTATACGCGCATATGCATATATACATAAATATATATGTAAGCTCCTTGAAAATGGCATATGCCTGTATACATACTTATACGTTCTTTAGCTAGACGTGCAGTTGAGACCATTTAGTCAAGTCTGTCTGAGTTGTTGCATGCAAAAAAATTCTGATACATATATACATTGTATAGTATATATATTGGAGATCACGAAGGCCAGATGAGTCAAATTCTGAATACAGCAAATATTTCAATCTAGTATAGGTAATCCTACCCTATATTATCTACATCCGTTCATCCATCCGTTTAGTTATCTATATATACATACATATAAACTATTACCAGATCTAGAGTTTTGACATTTTAAGTCGTTATCAGATTTGTTTCAATCGACCATTTCATATTTCCATTTCGATTTGAATCGATATTAAATGTCTGTTATTTGTATTCTCAATTCCAATCCCAATTCTATATACACAGTTACAGGGTGACTTCTAGTCGTGCAATAAGTCTTTCTCATTTTTCTAGGAAAACATCTGTTTACATTTTGCCATAAACAAGAATATTTTCTGGCCACCTACAGAAATATTTACTAACCGAAACTGAATCGGAGTAGAGAGATTTTAAAGGAATTTTCAAGCGTCTCGTGATTGGATTACTATTTTATAGAATTGTTTAACGGAAGCTCGAAGACAAAGAAACAAAGAGAAACCTTAAGCAGTAAAATTCTTAGCTATCAAAGTTTTTTTTTAAATTGAGGATATCCAAATGAAACGAAGTTTTGCAAAACAGATTCTAATATTTCCACATCCATCCCATAATTTCTATAAAAGTCTTATTGAGCGATCAGCGAAATTTCATCATCGAATAGGTTTTCAATAACTGTTTATTTTTTTATATTTTTCTTTATGTTATTTACATTTTTCGAATAGTTGTCTGGAAAAGTGCTAAAGCTTCTCAATCTCTCCTGGCTTAATGCATATGAAGCACCTCGATTAGGTTCAATTTGATGATAACGAGCCGATATTTTTACCCGGAGTGTGCGTTCATTTTCAGTCTTATCGCCAATCGAAATTGAACCTGTGACACTTGGTGAGGCGATGAGCTCTACGCAAATAGCTGCAAATAGACGCCCATTAGGGGGTCCATATAAAAATGGTATGTGCCTCTATGCGATGACCTCTGAACCGGGCTGCAATAACAAAATATTCCTTTTGGCTGCACACGACACACATACAACTATCAAAATATATACATGTAGATGTATTAGATTGATATATATATTAGATTGAAGGCGTTAATCTTATCGTACCAAAGTCAGGAAACAAATGAGATACTCTACACGAAAAGTGAAAGCGAGCATATTTGGTTAGACTACTTTGCAGAACGGATGCAGATTTCGTATTGCTTCTGAACTCTGCCCTTGAAATATCTAATCTTGCACCAAATGAAGAATATCTTAGATAATAGAGTCGTGCTTGAATGATATTCAAATATTATATGAATATACTTCCTACCAATTTCCTGAGTCTTGGTATAGTTCTTCGACTGGTGCGTCGGACTACATTTGCTGCTGAGCTATTATAGGAACCACTTGGAGCCGTACCCTCAAGGTGAAATCTTACTATTAGCTCTACCTAATTAACTCAGAGTCACTGAAAATTTTGCAAGCATCCTTGTAAGTTCTACACTATAAACTCTACCGATTCCTTCTGGTTGGTTCTCTCTGCTTTCTCTTTGTGAGAGCTAAGGCGTATTTTAATTTCCACTTGAGATCGCGTTCTCTTCTCTGAATTTGCAAAACTTCTCCATTCGCCCACTGTTGTAATTGTTTGTTAGCTAAGGTCACAGTTTGAGTGTTACTGCATTGAGTCGATCACATCACTATGCGGCGATAGGGCGTTGCCTTATCTCTGCATATATATAATATATAAATATATGCGAACGAAATAAAAAAAAATTCCAATGTTTTTTGAACCCATTGAACCGATGGCTGGCTCGCTCGCTTGCGCGCTGCTGGAAAATAATATTCTACAAAATATAAATATTTGCGTCGATCGCTCGTCTCGTCATAAAAATGTGGCAATTGATGCGTTTGCAATTCATTGCATTGCCGATCGTTGCCGCAATCGGTACAGATTTCTAGAGTATTATATTCACAATGTCTCGACAGAAAATGGCGGACCAAAAGATGTTGCAGGCAACGCTGAAGGAGAGCGACCCGGAGCTGGCCGATATCATAGTCAAGGAGAAGGAGCGCCAACGGGAGGGCCTCGAGATGATTGCCAGCGAGAATTTCACCTCGTTGGCTGTGCTGGAGAGCTTGAGCTCCTGTCTGACCAACAAATACTCTGAGGGCTATCCGGGCAAGCGGTAAGACTAATCGAGATTATTACATAATTAGAATTACCGAATCGTAATCGAGTGCATGCTGAACTGTTGCCTCAAGCTTATCTGAAGTCGGTTTGTATTTGAGCTTTAGGCAACTTTTAAGTGAGACTAAACGAGCTCTTTGCTTAACGGCAATCCAAACTCTTCTAATTCTCTCATTTTTTGAAACATCTAAAGATGCCAGCGCACAATGAAAGCTTATGAAAAGCTTTCTTTGAGCTACTACATAAGTATGCCTTGGGCTTTCAACTAAAAGAACTCGTAGTACTCAAATAAAGCTCCTTTATTCGATAATAAAGCTTCTCTTCAAGCAAAAGTCTTACTCTTCGAATTTAAAATTTCCTCTTGGATTTTTTTGAGCAGTATGAACTCCTACAAATTTTCCGATTTACAATACTTTATTTATTATATATA